GTCCGCGTACATGTGGAACCCGAAGACAGCATCCCCATACCCGTAGGTACGCGGCGCGGCAGGCTTCCCCGGGGATAGTTCACGCAACCAACACATCCCCTTTTTTCCTTTTAACTTTCTTTCACCCCATGTCCCTCCAGCGGATCAATGTTTCCAACAAGGGGCATATTTACGTTTTTAACATTGACGAGGTCCCCCCCCCCCCCCCCGCCGTCACGTATCCCCCCTCCCTCCTTTTCCCACCTTGTGTTCCCGTTAAAAACCTCGGCCGGTGTAGACCTGAGCAGCGTGGTGTTGGTGTCGAGCCTTAGCAGCACTCCCGGCCGGAGGAAGAGCGGCTCGGGCCGCTGGGCGAAGGGTCAAGGGCAAGGGGGGGTCACGCAGACCCGAATGGGAGGGGTGGACCTGGGCGTCGACGACCTGTCCGCGGCGCACTGGGAACTCACGGAAGCGGAACGGGATCTCCAGGTGAGATGTGTCCTCCCCACAACCAATAACAAATACTACTTCAGAGGTATATACAGCAGTGAATAATAACAAACATGGGTACCCATGGGTTGAGTAACCATTGGGAGAGCCGTACAGAAATTGATCTCGTCAACATGTGGTAACCATTGTTCTCAGCCACCGGTAGTGGGTAAAGACTACCGCGACTTGGGTCCCCTTTCACCAAGGGGAGCATGTGTCCTTGAACACCCCTCTCGATTTTTTGGCAGTTGCAAGATCGTTGGGGGGAGGGGGGTATGCCTGTCGGCAGGCTGTAGGTTTCTAGGGGGGCGGGGGACTCCACTCGTATGTATTTGTTGCTAAGTAGCAGAAGACGTGTGATCTATATCCCCCGAGATATTCGCAGTACATCCCGCAGGGTTTTTCTCCGCACCCAGTCAGAAACGAGGTGGTTCAACGCATGCCTCCGATCAGGGGGTATTTCCCATCTCGAACTCTTTCTGTGGTTGATTGTGTATGTTCCATGTTTTCTTACTACCAACAACGACATCACAACAACAACATAATCAACATCATCATCATCAACAACAACAACAACAACAACAACAACACCAGAGGCGGGAGCGCGAGGTCGACCGTCGGGAGCGGAGCGCCGCGGAGGCCGAAGAGGGTGCCAGCCAAACCCAGCGAGAGGCGGCGCGGGTCCGGGAGAAGGCGGAAGGAGAGCTCGAGAAGGCTAAGGCCGAGATATACGCCTTGCAGGTGAGTGAGTAAGGGTGTTAACGACGTTGGTGCTACTTGTGGTGGTGGTGGTGGTGGTGGTGTTGCTCTGCTTCTGCTGCTGCTGCTGCTGTTGGAGGTGGTGATGACGATGGCATGAACGATGATGGTGATAAAGTTTAAGTTTTATTCCCTTCTTTTAGTGGGCGGCCACAATGAATAGCCGGCGGGGGGCGGGGGCGTGGACGACAGCTCTCGGAAAGTACAGCTACGCTGTCTCGCATAACGGGCGTCCACGAGGACTTTTCCCCTTGGCACCATCATTTCTCCGATCGACCAACGGCCGGTTTCGTTCGATCAACGGCCGAACGCAAAGCAACCACAAGACTTTGCTGTACCGAACCAGCCGAAAAACCGGAACACACCCACCGCCCGGTCTACGAACGACCGAATCCCATCAACCACGCAATGCTGTACTGGATCAACCCCTAAACACACTACACTCTCGTCGCCTCACATGTAGTACATAACTTGTTGTACTGACCC